TGGGATTACAGGCATGAGCCACCGCACCCGGCCTAGCCTAAATTCTTTAATATTTTATTTTATTAGATGACAACCCCAAAGTTTACTGCAAATAAAATTAATAAAAGCAGTTTTTTTAAAATCACACTCCTGGCCCAAATTTTGCCTCAGCATTAGTGAAGAACCCTACTGGCCTGACTAAAACCTCGAGCTGCCTCAGAGTATTCACTCATGAATAATTAGAACTTGGCGCTCTCTTCTCTCTCTCTCTCTCTCTCTCTATATGTGTGTGTGTGTTTTCACATACTAATAGGCATTTGTTCTTATGCATGTAACAATACAGACATGCAGTGTAACAAAAATAGAAACAAACATCTTGAATATGCTTTTAAAGGACAAGAGAATGCTTTAAAAGCATTTTTATCTTCAAAATCTGATGGAATCAAGATGTGTTTAACAGTTCCCGTTGGCAACTCCTCAGTCTTACACTGTGACTGTAAAAGAAGGAATCCCCTGGGATGTTGTATCATCCAGGATAATCCTTAGAATGTCAGGATGTCAGGATGTTGAGGTTCCTGATATCCTCACTATGATATAGTCTTTTACCTCAAGGTCTCAGGCTGTGACCTGGCCCTCAAATGATGAGTCATGACTCCCATTACCACCATAGGGTCCCTAGTGACCAAAATCAAAATCTGTATTTAGGTAGCTCCGCCCTGCCCCCACCCCATGAGTTCTGTCACCAGGGAGTCCTTGTGAACAGACTTGGGACTTTGCAGATGGGAAATTGTTATTTGCCAAAGTTATTCTTTATGCCAATGACATAGGCCCACTGGTCAGATTTCACAGAGAAGCTTATAGAACTCCTACTTTGTGGAGAAGTTTTTAAACCTAGAGTGCAAAGCAAACAGCAGTACTTTTGCTTTTAAAATACCTTTTTAAAAAGTAGGAAACAATAGTCAGACCTCTGAAAAGTATCTTCAGTCCACATGCAGTATCTGTTTGCCCACGTCTGCAAGATTTGGTGTTAGAGTTCCGCTTGCTGGACTACAGCCCCAGAATTAAGAGAGTGGGCTGGGCGCAGTGGCTCACGCCTGTAATCCCAGCGCTTTGGGAGGCTGAGGCAGGCGGATCACCTGAGGTCAGGAGTTCAAGACCAGCCTGGCCAATATGGTGAAACCCCGTCTCTACTAAAAATACAAAAATTACCCAGGCATGGTGGCGCGTGCCTGTAATCCCAGCTACCCGGGAGGCTGAGGCAGGGGAATCACTGGAATTTAGGAGGCAGAGGCTGCAGTGAACCGAGATTACGCCACTGCACTCCACCCTGGGAGATCGAGTGAGACTCCATCTCAAAAAAAAAAAAATAGAGCAATGAATGATGGTGATGCTAAAGAATGGAGCCATCCACTGAAAGAGGAAAGTGGAGAGGAACAGAACCTACCAAAATCTATCTTCTCTGCCTCTCCTTGACTCCAAGTGGCTCAGTTTCTGGAGTGCTAGTAAAAGATAAGATCAGACCTGACTGGAGGAAAAACTGAAGAAATTCATCTCTGTGAAATTCTCCTACCTGCCATTTCCTCTTTATTCCATCCCCACTTCCATTCTCTGTCCCATTCCCCAGACCTAAGAGAAGCTGCTTCAGTAGACCACTGTCCCAGAGGAGTTTGCATTTAAAAGAATACCCTTGAAAGTTCCAAGGGGAACTCAGGTATAGTTCCAGCATTCTGGAGGGCAGGATGGTCCTCATGTCCTAGGGCTTTTGGAATGTGTCTCCCCTTGAATCCAGGCCAGAAAACAGGGTCCTCACTGATGGGCTTTCCTATAGGATAACAGGCCAACCTCTTCAGCAAAAATACCCAGCTGTAAGCCAGGACTACTGCCAGCCAGGCACTCCAGGCTGCTAATCCTTAAGAGGTAACCACAGCTGTGTTGGCACTTGTCCCTCCCTTGACTGACAAAGCTTCAGGAAGGAGGCCCAGTTATGGTATCAGCAATTGTTCCAGAAATCCAAAGGGCTCTTGTAAGATGCTGTGGAACTCCAGTTTGGGGTTTCGGGTGTAGGAATCTGCTAGAGAGGTGTGGCTTGAGAAAGAGAAATCTGACCTATCAGGAATGGTGGTAGGGGCCTTTGGAGGCAAAGCCAGGGATAACTAGCAATAAATGCTGAGTGATCAGTTAGAACAAATTCTTTCTCAGGGCCTCTTCTGATTTCTCTGAGTGGCTGCATGTACACACCTGTAGCAAGAAGAACTAAGGAAAGGCATTGTTTCCAAAACCCCAAGAATAAAATTAGAATTCTCTTTGGAGCTGCCCCTAAACCAAGAACATACGCAAAAAGAGCCAGGACTCAGTATAAAAGATCAAACTATAGAAGGACAAGGCATTTAAAATGCAGCAACAGAACTCAAGAGAGAAGCCAACAGCCTACCTCCACCTTTCCTTGATTTTGATTACTTTCATTCTGGGCCCTGGAGCCTCAGTCTTGTCACCTAATATCTCTGTTAATTCAAATTCCTTTTCTCAATTAGCTTCTAAGATTATTCAACAGCAAGGTAAGAAATTGATTCCTATTGTATTTTCCAAGAATCAGGGTCAGATAATGTCATTGTAAAACATCACACTGATTTTTAAAAGAACTGCAAAACAGATTTAAGTTCTATTATATGGCTAATTCTAATTCTGCTACATGCTTTATTTTCTTGCCATATTTAATGACTCAGTACTAAAACCCTGTTTTAATTTTTTGTGTGTTTCTGGCAAGTAAGTATCATTAAAAAATTATTTCCCATTTAGAGTGACCCCCTGAAGTGTGCTTTGCCCACCAAAGCTTACTTGCTCTACATGGCCCCAGAAAAAAAAAAAAAAAAGTCAATATTACTTCTTCAGGGACAGTGCCTCAGAGATATTCTCTTTTTACCCTCATTGTCAAGGGAATGGTTACTTAATCAAAGGTCAGTGGGTCCATCTTGAAAATATACTAGAAACAGATTTACTCATGTTCCGTCTCCAGACTAAATGTTAACTACCTAAGCATAATTAGCAACAGGATGCCAGTCAATGAGTGTACTTTTTACTTCATGTCTGGGGAGTTTAGGTGCCTTCATTTTAATAGGGGCCTTGGTGCTAGTTATCAAATTGACAGTCTTGACCTGACTTCTAAAAGTGGCTGTAAAACGATGCCTAGTAAATTAAGATAAATGCCAAATTCCTCTGAGGAAATAGGCCTAAATCATTACTGTGAAATGGGCATTCAGGTTTGGGGCCAGGACTTCACAATAAGGATATAAATACTAGCCTGGGCATGAGGGAAGATGTGCACTTAGCTATTGTACACACAAGATAACAGTGACTCACTTTATTCAGCATTATGCTTGGCTGGAGATTTTAAATTCCTTTTTAAAAACAAGACTATTGTACCACAGGGTAAAGATTTTATTATCCTCAATAATGGGATTGAATATGCCAAGGCATGGAAACAGGAAATTCAATCTGCTGATACTCAGTGCCAAGACAGGGGTTATCGAAATCCACAATGGGTCACTTTGGTGGGCTTTCCAATGTTGCAGTGGCCTGGAAACACAGGGACCTGAAGTAGGGAAATGTCTGACTCCAACTAGGAGAGGTGGTAGAAGTCATGCTAGATCAGGTTCCAGGCAGTAGTATGGAGTCAGAACATGGGCATTTACTGTACCTCTGCTATTTCAGTATCGCTGAAATACTAAACCGGGAGGCGAAGGCACTAAGCAGTTATGCAGAGGGGTTACTGATCTGGCTCTTTCCCACAGATGCCACTATCAAATAGTGCAGAGAAGCTAGCAGAGTCCCTGCTGACGTATTATATCACTGCTTGATAAGTCATGTATGAATAACCAAAATTGGTCAAACAGATCCCTGAAGACAAATTGCAAGTCATAAACCTTCAACCTGAATCCTAATTTTTATCAATAACCAGGAGAGTTCATATTTATCTTATTTTTTCTGTGTTTTCTTCACTGAAACTTCTTCACTCCTACTTATTTTGCTTCCCTCTTTCTCAGATTTATTGCTTCCTGCCCTGATATTTGGGGAGGGAAAAAAGAGGGGGCTGTGATTTAGTTTCCTGTCAAGACTCAAATTAAATACACTGCCTATTTATCACTAAAACCCGCCAGTTGGCCAATTTTAAATGAGGTGACGGGACATTAACTCAGAACCCTCTGCCCACTGTCTTCCTCTGCACTGACCCCTAGCCAGACTCGTGGGAATGGAAAGCAAAATGATGAGTGTCCAGATATCTTCTCTTCTCTGGAATGGTCCACCAACCAGACTTCACCAATACCCCCAAGCTATTAATGGGAAAAATCCCCAGGAGACATATGCACATGTTTAATCAGCTTTTATTCTTTTTAGAGTCAGGGTCTTGCTCTGCTACCCAGGCTGGAGTGCAGTGGCACAATCATAGCTCACTGCAGCCTCCAATTCCCAGGCTCAAGAGATCCACCTACCTCAGCCTCCCGAGTAGCTGAGACTACAGATATGAGCCACGATTCCTGGCTAAGTTCTTTCATTTTCTTTCTTTCTTTCTTTTTTTTTTTTTTTCTTGAGACAGGGTCTTGCTACATTGCCCAGGCTGGTATCAAACTCCTGGTCTCAAGTCATCTTCCTTCCTCAGTCTCCCAAGTTGCTAGGATTACAGGCATGAGCCACCATGCCTGGCTCTACTCAGCTTTCTATAGGCAAAAGTTCATCTAAGTGCAGTTTGGTTGGTGGAACACTCCAAAGAAGAGAACTTTCTTAAGCCAGAGGGAATATGAAGATCTTTGCTTCTCTAGCTGCCCTTTCATTATCTATTAACATTTATGATTCATCAAAACATGGCTCTATCTCCCCATAGGAGAAATCATTGGCATTCACATACCCATCACCACTAGGGTTGGTTACATTTGCCTTGACCCAGTAGTCCGTCATAATCAAGTTGATTTCCCTCTTAAGAGATTAGTCCTTTAAACTTCTGCTCTGGTCTTTTTCTGCCCCCTTAGGTCATGGATTATATGGGACTTTTGAAATGTTATCCTCCTGGAGGAAAACTAGAGAAGACCAACATGTTAAAGAGAGAACTGCAGCAGTCTATGCAGACTCCATGCTCTCCTTTTCTCTCACCACTGCCATGTACCTGGTCACCTTTGGCATAGGGGCCAGCCCTTTCACAAACATTGAGGCAGCCAGGATTTTCTGCTGCAATTCCTGTATTGCAATCTTCTTCAACTACCTCTATGTACTCTCGTTTTATGGTTCCAGCCTAGTGTTCACTGGCTACATAGAAAACAATTACCAGCATAGTATCTTCTGTAGAAAAGTCCCAAAGCCTGAGGCATTGCAGGAGAAGCCGGCATGGTACAGGTTTCTCCTGACAGCCAGATTCAGTGAGGACACAACCGAAGGCGAGGAAGCGAACACTTACGAGAGTCACCTATTGGTATGTTTCCTCAAACGCTATTACTGTGACTGGATAACCAACACCTATGTCAAGCCTTTTGTAGTTCTCTTTTACCTTATTTATATTTCCTTTGCCTTAATGGGCTATCTGCAGGTCAGTGAAGGGTCAGACCTTAGTAACATCGTAGCAACCGCGACACAAACCATTGAGTACACTACTGCCCAGCAAAAGTACTTTAGCAACTACAGTCCTGTGATTGGGTTTTACATATATGAGTCTATAGAATACTGGAACACTAGTGTCCAAGAAGATGTTCTAGAATACACCAAGGGGTTTGTGCGGATATCCTGGTTTGAGAGCTATTTAAATTACCTTCGGAAACTCAATGTATCCACTGGCTTGCCTAAGAAAAATTTCACAGACATGTTGAGGAATTCCTTTCTGAAAGCCCCTCAATTTTCACATTTTCAAGAGGACATCATCTTCTCTAAAAAATACAATGATGAGGTCGATGTAGTGGCCTCCAGAATGTTTCTGGTGGCCAAGACCATGGAAACAAACAGAGAAGAACTCTATGATCTCTTGGAAACCCTGAGGAGACTTTCTGTCACCTCCAAGGTGAAGTTCATCGTCTTCAATCCGTCCTTTGTGTACATGGATCGATATGCCTCCTCTCTGGGAGCCCCCCTGCACAACTCCTGCATCAGTGCTTTGTTCCTGCTCTTCTTCTCGGCATTCCTGGTGGCAGATTCACTGATTAACGTCTGGATCACTCTAACAGTTGTGTCCGTGGAGTTTGGAGTGATAGGTTTCATGACATTATGGAAAGTAGAACTGGACTGCATTTCTGTGCTATGCTTAATTTATGGAATTAATTACACAATTGACAATTGTGCTCCACTGTTATCCACATTTGTTCTGGGCAAGGATTTCACAAGAACTAAATGGGTAAAAAATGCCCTGGAAGTGCATGGGGTAGCTATTTTACAGAGTTACCTCTGCTATATTGTTGGTCTGATTCCTCTTGCAGCTGTGCCTTCAAATCTGACCTGTACACTGTTCAGGTGCTTGTTTTTAATAGCATTTGTCACCTTCTTTCACTGCTTTGCCATTTTACCTGTGATACTGACTTTCCTGCCACCCTCTAAGAAAAAAAGGAAAGAGAAGAAAAATCCTGAGAACCGGGAGGAAATTGAGTGTGTAGAAATGGTGGATATCGATAGTACCCGTGTGGTTGACCAAATTACAACAGTGTGATAATGTCTGCTTGGTATATTTTCACCTTAGGTCTTATCAAGACCAAAGAGATTATGTTAATGAAACAATTAAATTCAAAGTTGTTCTCTTTTTTAAAGATAGGAAACAGGCATTGCCAAAAAAAAAAAAAAAGTAAGAGACAATGGGAAGAAATGGGCATGGCATATTTTCAGTCTTTAAAACAAAAGAGTTGTTATGAGAATTCACACACACATACACACACACACACACACACACACACACACACACACGCGCTAGGAGACCTATAGTCTCTTAAACTAAGATCAAATAGAAGAAAGCTTATTAACAAGCAGGATCCTGTCTTATCCAAACTGCAGATGTTGCTGGCATTGTGACAAAACCCACTGATAGAAAGGTCAACTGCCAAGGCAGAAACAGCTTTTAAGCATTGTTCAAACAATAAGGCTTCCAGAACTTCTGTAGAGCAGTAGCTCCAGCCATGGTCTGTGGTTTGAGGTTTTAGCTGTCTCACCTAGCTCCCTAACACCAAAGGAGATGCTCTGAAAGTTCTGACCAGCAAAAGCAAGCCAGAGCCTTGGAAACTGATACGTGGTAGAGTGGCCATCACTCATGGACTAAAATTGTTTCACCCCTAAATTCACCCAGGTGAAGCAGTTTTGTTGTCTAGAATGAAATTATCATATTCCCCCACTGGTATGCTTTTAACATTTGTATAGTTTGGTTTGGTTAAAACACCTTAAAACCAATGACAGCTCCAGCACTGCAGAACTGGTGTGATTCTATTTTGGAAGAGCTTGTCACTTGTCACCAAATGGGTCTGCTTTATTAGTTACAGCTCTTGGCAGGAGGATCCAGGGACCCAAAACCACAGAGCCAAACCCAAATACCTGGCATGATGGAGCAAAAGCAGGTGTCTACTTGGACCCAGATATAGTGTCTCCATTTTAACAACGACAACAAAATAGCCAGCTGGTACAGCTGTTTGTGGTTGGCCCTACATGCATTTTTTGCATGGATACCCAGAAACATCTGCCCACGCATAACTGAGGGAAAAAAATGAACACTGAAATAGTAATTTGCTGTTGCTTCCAACTTGTAGTGCCAGTCTGCCTTTGCTATGAAACACACCTGCTCAGAGACAGAGAGGGGAAGATCTTTGGTAAGTCTAAGTCCTGACACTGAGAAGCTTTGTAGAAGTGCAGGGAGATAAAGGGCCAAAAGGGAGACAGATGGAAAAGACTGGACAAAGTATTCACTAATACAAATCTATCAATGATGGCAGTCCAATTCTCTTACTAAACTGGCTGCACCTCACCTTGCTGGTTCCCCCCACACCTTTTTTGATGTCCTTCTACTTCATCATAGCAAGGCCCTTCTGTGTATTAACAAGCCTAGATATTTACACTCTTGACTTCCAGTATCTACAGAAGAATGGTTCATAGATCTAAACAGAAATGGGTTAGATCTAAAAAGGCTGTATACGTTGTCCAGGCCCCTGCATTTCTTTAAATTTATAAAAATGAAGCTAAAACCTGGTTACATTTATAGCAAATATCTACAGTATTTTTCCCTTTTGGAGATGTAGCTTATTTAGACATCTATAGTGGTAAGCATTTCCCAAAAGCATCTTACCTTTCTGCACCTTAGCAGACATGCTGTGCAAGTTACCCATCTTCTGCAGAGGAGGAAACTGAGACCTAGGAGAATAAAGTGACTCACTCAGGTCACACCACTAAAGGATTTTCATCATTTCAGCATACCTAAGACAGGGCAGGCCAATTTTCAGTTTTCTCATAAGATGGCTATTACTCCTCTCAAAATGCATTTCCAAAGAAGGAACATAGGACTTTATTGGCCACAGGGCAGACATTTTTTTAGTGTCTGGGATTAAAATGTTTGAGGTTTAGGTTTGCCGTTGTCTTTCCAAAACAGCAAAAAAGCCCAAATAATTCAGATGTAACCATACCAAGTGCAAACCTATGCTTTCTATTTCATGTACTGTTGTCCATACAGTTCTAAATACATGTGCAGGGGATTGTAGCTAATGCATTACGCACTTGCTCAGTCTCCCCTGCAGACACACTAAGTGATAATACAAGTGTTATGCACTCAACTAGAAGATAATAAGCTTTAATCTGAGGACAAGTACAGTCCTCACAAAAGGGCAAGTTTGCATAATAGATCTTCGATCAATTCTGTCTCCAAGGGGCCTGCAACTAGGCTATTATTTATAAACACAACTGAAGAGGGGATTGGTTTTATTCTTAAATCATATGTTGCTAAATCATTTTCTGAACAGTGTGTTCTAAATCAGTCATTGATTTAGTGTCAGCCACGTGGAGCACCTCGGCTTAAAGCGACTCCACAAAACTGACACAACACACACACCAATTAAATGGATTTTGTTGAGAATTTAATCATTCAATTTGGTCAACCAGAATGACTTACTGTGGAACTTTGTTTTATGACAGATAGTAGTTTTCCAAGTTGATTGAGTCTCTGTATACCCTGGGATATTGTATTTTTTAATGAAGGGCATTTTCAAACTTGTCAACTTCTCTTTTCAGCACTTGAAATGAAGGCTTATGGAATTCTGACTGTGAAATGAATTTTTCTATTGGGAGATTATGCATGCCAAGCTTTATTATTTATTGTTAGATAATTATTATTTATTTGTTAATACTGATTATTGATTATTGCTCTGCCGCATTGGTTTAGCCCCACTGTGGAGAAGACACTTTAGAAGTAACTCAGAATCACATCCCCATAAAATCTAAGTCTTTACTTCATCAAGTTTTACTTTTTGAAGTACTATAAAGAGGGAAAAATTGATCCCTGCAAACACTTGAAGAAGCGGTGTTTTTTTCTTTCAATTAATTCCAACCAAGACATTAACGTCCACTTGACCAAAGAAACTTATTTGATTGGTTTTGAGTTGGTGTTTGTTGTTTGTTTACCAAAGAAAATATTCCATTCATCAAAAATATTTCTCCTGGTCAACTAAAAAACTGTCATACTGGGATTTTTTTAGCCATTCATAAAGAAAATTTTTAAAAGTCAGGGTAGGCCGGGCGCGGTGGCTCAAGCCTGTAATCCCAGCACTTTGGGAGGCCGAGACGGGCGGATCACGAGGTCAGGAGATCAAGACCATCCTGGCTACACGGTGAAACCCCGTCTCTACTAAAAAATACAAAAAACTAGCCGGGCGAGGTGGCGGGCGCCTGTGGTCCCAGCTACTCGGGAGGCTGAGGCAGGAGAATGGCGTAAACCCAGGAGGCGGAGCTTGCAGTGAGCTGAGATCCGGCCATTGCACTCCGGGCTGGGCGACAGAGCGAGACTCCGTCTCAAAAAAAAAAAAAAAAAATGTCAGGGTAAGGGTGATATTCTCTCATTTAGTGAAACTCAGAAGAAGATGTAAATTCACAAGGAATGTGGCGTTTGCAAGAAAAAAAGTGATACTTGAAATAGGGCATTATTGTTTAGCCTACAGCAACATTCCAACAAGTAGCATCAGGGCTCCTCAGGTTAAAAGAAGTATAGTTTGTTCCAGAGAAAAACGAAGACAAACCCTCATGAAATGTTTCTCCATTGTTCCAGCTCATAAGTTTTACTTTGTGTTGGGTTTTGGAGTCTTTAGTTTCTTTGATGTTTGTTTTGCTTTAATTTGGTTTGTGGTTTGTGTTTGCTTGTGTTTGCTTCTGCCTTTCCTACCACTTTTACTCCCTCAGTTTTCAGTCAGAAGTGTGATAATCAGATGCCATCCTCCATGGCCACGCTTTTTGTACAATATACTGCTCCAAATGAGGCCCTTGGTAACCCTTATGACCCTTTAATTCTAACTAACCATCAACCAATCGTAAGTGGCATTCTGAAACCATGACACCACTTTTCTCCAGTGCCAATGACGGGGTTCAGCTGTGTCCATCACAAGAAAAGGTGGAATGGGCAGCTGTCTTGGGGGTGTAGTATGAGGCAGAACCTCTTGGACACAAATGTTATCTTCCTCATAATGGCTTCATTCTTTTGGATCCTATTAAAGTACCCCTGTAGCTTATAGTAGTGTTTGACCTCTGACTGTTTTCTCATCTGTAAAATGGGGATAATATCAGTAAATATCTTTACATTCAGCAAATACTTATTGAGTGCCAAATATTGCCCAGATACTGTTCTAGAGACTGGGGACACAACAGTCAACAAATCAGATTTTTAAAAATCTGCGCTCGTAGAGCCTACCTTTGCGTGACATTGCAGTTATATTGTGGGGATTGAGTGAGATGAGAGATGACATTTGGAAAGCACACTTGGAAAGGCCTGGCAAAGAAGAGAGACTCAAGACATTATTTGTAATTTTTCATTCTCGCACAGTAGCACTAGGGCTCGAGATGTAAAGCTACTGAGAAGTACATTTGAGCCTGAGATTAGGGCTACAAATACAGTGAGTTGCCACAGAAGGTAGTTAGTTACCAATCATTTTAGGACATTCAAAATGAAGCTGGTCACCACTTAGTGGGGCCACTGGAAAGGGGCTGCAAGTCCTGGATGTTGACATCATACTATGATCTTTGAAAAAAAACGGATACAGGCACTTGCTTTTGGGGATGGGGAAGAGACACCACTGATTACTGAATAACTGTGCCTGGCTTGTCTGAGGGAATGTAAACACTGCCTTTAGGTAATTTGCTTTTAATTTTGTGTTAAAAGCACCAGGTATTTAGAGACATAAAGTTCCTATTTTTTAAAAGCATAGTAAAGCTGTGATACAAAGAAAAATATTAAGTTAGTGGATTCGCTGGCAAAGAACTAAGAATGGCTGCAGCCAGCACATTGCAGAGTTCCTCCCTGTGGTGGTTACAACTGTTTATTTCTGTTTCATGCCAGTCCAGGAGAAAGCAAAGAGGAAAGTGGATGAGCTATAATCCATTCACCTGAATAGGCAGTGCCAGGATGTTCCCGCCAGCTTGCTTCTAACCCGCCCCGCTTCTGTCCAGGTGATTTGTTTGAAGTCCTCTTTGATAACTATGAGAGCACTGTGGAAGGAAGAGGAAGTGAGGCGACCGGAGAGCTATGGCCTCTGTGCAGATTTTTGAGTTAGATTAAAATTAGTGCCACCTGATTAGGAGCCTACCTGGTGAGGAAAGAAGCCTTCTTTTCGAAGTACGAAGAAAGCAATGTGTACCAAGGAGGAAACCAGCAGGGAAACCTTGGTGGAAGAAGTGATGTTCCTGTGGAATATGCCAGCAGCTTCTCCTTCCAGAATGCTGACACCAGATGAATCTTTGGTTAGAATTAAGCCTACCCCTTTGTTTTTCACATGAGAAAACTGAACCCTGGAGTAATGAAATTATATTCACAGAGCTAATTAGAAACAGATATGAGAATATAATTGAAATCTAGTTCTTAGCCTCAATTCTTTCTCCATTCTGCCACTTTACTGCCAGATTCTATTCATCTAAATTATTGGGGTCTTAAACTGGGGGCCAAATGAGTTCATGGGAGGGGTCTCTGAGCTCCCAAAAATTAAATTATATGCAAAAATGTGTGTATATATTCAACATGTGCATTTTCCTAAAGAGGGCTCACAGTCGTCATCAGATTCCAAAAGAGGTCTATAACCCAAAAAGGGTGAAGAACCACTGTCCTAAATTAATAAAGACCTCATTGGGAATGTGACCCTGGTGTCCTCATTTTGGCTAATGAGCAATCAAGAACTTTTGAACTATCTTTTCTCTAAGGATCCAAAAATGCTTCAAAATAGTGGTTTCTTCATCCCAAGCCAAGTGCCTACTTCTGTTCATTTATTCTTCATTCATTCTTTCATTCATTCATTTATTCTGCAAATGTATTTTCAGTGCCAATTCATGTTCTAGCAGCAGCTAAATATGCCCTCCACAGCAGGACCAGGAAAGGAGCCCTCTGTACTGTGCTCTTGTTGGCAAGAGGAACACCAGGTTGCTACCACATTCTCACTGTTGCAACAAAATATATATAGCCTCAAAATTTCAGTAACCATCCCACACACATACACACATAAAGGCAGCAGCCAACAAAGCCAACATATAGAAATGTGCCCTGTCAAAGAACCAGGGAAGAGCAGCCTATTTCCAGGTTATATATAGTTATATGCTGCTTTGCAACTGCATACCACATCCTTGGAAGGGCTGCTCCCAAATGAGCCCTACTCTGAGATGTCTACACTAGGCATGCTTTCACACATGTGCAGTACCCTACGCTCAAACAAGCATGGAGAGAATAAATCTCATTCATTTTGATAATATTCATAGTGGGCAAAGAAGCAACCATGGCCATGGAGAGATGGGTGCATTTAAGGACAGGTGTGGCCAGGCACGGTGGCTCATGCCGGTAATCCCAGCACTTTGGGAGCCGAGGCAGGCAGATCATGAGGTCAAGAGATTGAGACCATCCTGGCCAGCATGGTGAAGCCCCGCCTCTACTAAAAAATACAAAAAAATTAGCTGGGCGTGGTGGCACGTGCCTGTAGTCCCAGCTACTCAGGAGGCTGAGGCAGGAGAATCACTTGAACCCACGAGGTAGAGGTTGCAGTGAGCCGAGATTTCGCCACTGCACTGCAGCCTGGTGACAGAGTGAGAATCCATCTCAAAAAGGAAAAAAAAAAAGGACAGGTGTGTTTTATACACAAATATGCAGAAGCCCAGTTCTCTAGACTCCAAGTCAGAAGCTAGATAAAATATAGGTTTCTGGAGGAAGTTGGAAAATAAATGACTATACTGCACTTGTTGGCTCTGTGGCTACTGATATAACTTCAGGCACAATGGAATTCACCTGGGTTGACCTATGGGAAAGGCTGGGTGAATCACTACTTGGCCTTGCATGAAGCACAAAGGAGACACCAATGGCTAATCAGTGCCCCTTCCATCATCTTCTGCCCAGCCATGATAAGGAAAGCCTTCTGTTGAGATGGAGGAATATCAGTTCAACTTTGTAACATCTGATGTGAAGTTTGAGGGCTTTGTTCACTGGGATCCACAAAGTGCATTGTCTAATTCCTGCCAAATGGCAAAGACCCAGCCCATTTCCATTACTCATTCCAGGCTCATGCTTGGGAAAACTAATAACGTTCTCTGACAAAACAGTTTCCTTAATTTTCTAGGATGAATCTTGAACATGTTTAGCTCAGCCTTTCAGATATTTATTCTTTAAATTACCACCCTGTCAAAATTGCCTTTGCCCACTGATCCAGAGGGCAATTGCCATGATGCCTCCCAGGACTGTGGATGACTGGGCAAACTGGTAATGACCCACTGGCTCTGCTTCAGACACACACATACATGTTGACACACATATGTACACATGCATATATGTGTGTACAACATATAGTACAACAACTATAACATAGAAACATATACCTAGACACATGCACATGTTTACATACACACATCACAGATGTGCATGCACACATACACATGCACACCACCTTTTACAATATGCCTGACACATTTGAGGCACATTAAAAAGCCTTGGCAAGCCCAGCCCTATAGTTCTGTAAGGTTTGGCAGGCCGAAGGCTTCAGACGTCTGCAGGATACCATTGAAAAAATGTTATCTTCCCCTTCTATATGTTTCTTGTGCATGAGCACAGCTAAGA